TTCTATTGAGATGATGAAGACTGAGGCAGAAAAAGAAAATGTGGCAAAAAAATTGAAAAAGGACAGAAATAATGATAAAAAACAACTATATATATTTTAAAATGGAAGAGAGACAGCTGGCTGTAATTCTTTAACAAAAAGGCTAATGGAAATAGGTAATATGATGTAACTGTGTTGAGAAAGAGAGAGAGAACATGACAGTTGAAGGGTGACTGTTGGAAGTTGTGCATAAGGTACTTGAATTATTGTTATAATAGCTGCAAATGCATGTAATCATTGATTCTTGATACCTTCCAAGATCTCAAAAAAATTATATTAATGTAGATAAGTTGATCTATGGTAACAACAATGAAAAGTTATATAAAATCCTCTTTCGATTATGTCACATATTTACAAATGAAATGCATGTTACAGGCCCAGTTGTGAATCAAGCAAAGGAATTTTAAGATTTTTCTATAAAAAAAAAAAAAAAAAAAAAAGAGAGAGAGAGAGAGAGCTATAAAGTTAGAGGGACAACAGAAAAATAATCCATTCTTAAATCTACAGACACAGAAATGCTCACTTATTACTTTCAAATTAAGTAACAGTACATTAAAAAAAAAAAAAAGAAAAAAAAAGAAAAAGGAGCCTGACATGTTCCAAAACTTATTCCTTTAATACTGCCCTTATGATAAGTTGAAATTGCCATATTCAGTTGAAGGTGTGCAATAACAATAGATGGAATTGGTAAAACAAAACCTAGAGAGAAATCTGACTCATAGCAACCAAATAGATAAAAATAGCTATAGTGAATCAAATTTTTACCCAACATGTAAATACCACTTGGTTGTATAATTGATGACAAATAAAAGCGCAAAATCAGACTAAAAGATTGTCATCAGTAATCTTTGCTAACTTTTTCAAGCAACAGATGATAGTTACCCAAGACAGGTTAGCTAATCTTATGCTAAATTTCCAAAATATTCATTATAATATTTTGAACAAGTAATTGATTGGAAGTCGAGCTAAAGACAAACAGAATCATCAAAAACAACTGTGGCCAGCCACCATAAGATGGTGTGATTACATTTATCTTGTATTTATTTTTTTTAGGACCAGAAAAGATTGAAGTAGTATTTTTATAGAAATTATTATCTAATGCACTGAAGATCTGTGTTGAACAATGGGAAGAGATTTTTGTTCCTCAGATAAAAATAGTGCAATAGAAACAAAAGAGACTGAAATGAGAAAGCCTAATGATTTAAACTTATCTAAGCTGGGCTCTGCTGTGTCTGTAGTGAAACTGGTTTGGGGTTTGTTTGTTTTGTCTTATTTCTCTTAATTTAAAAAGAAAAAAAGAGTGTAGAAAGGATTTAGGAAAACATAGGAAGGGGAAATAACTAAATACTATGTCTGATTTAGTTTTACTGATTTTAACAAAGAAACAGAGATGATGAAGTGTAGTTGGGTCTGTAGAAGATATAGGGGTGATAGAGGGTTTGGAAGAAGCTATACTTCCCATCACAATTCTGGACCACTCAAAATAAATGAGTGAACATGTTACATTTATATCTTTTATTAAAAAAAAAAAAAATGTGTGGGATGGGAGAGGTAAAAGGTGAATCACTGAGCCTGCCCAATTTATATACCAAAACCAATAATATATATATATATATATATATATATATATATATATATATATATATATATATATATATATGCCAATATATATATATCCACATACACTCATTTTGTGTGCTTATATACATACATATGCAATGATGCATGTATACATGTAAATACTGAAAATGACATGTTGGTATCCACAGAAAGGAAATATTATACATATTGTGGGTGTTATGACTTATTTTTATGTTGATATTTAAACAAGATGGACTTTGGGCGATTCTTTCATACCCAATGACCACTGCAGTATTTTTTTTTAAATATCTGCAAAAATCAAGTTTTATAAATAACATACATACACACACACATGTATATATACACACAAATGCAAATATTTGAGTGTGTACGCATATATAATATACAAAAGAGTTGGGGGAGAGGGAAACAGAACAAATAGAGACAGGGGTCGAATTGGGTAACAAGTTAGCAGGAGAAAGGGGGTTATGGTTGGATGTGAGAGAAAAGTATAATTAGGGTATTGGAATAAGAATAAAAAATAGTCATTAGAAAAACAACAATGTGAATCATCCAGCAAAAGTGTCCACAAAATTGTGGCAATAGCTCATTTCTTTTTCATTTAACCAATTTTCCATTTTTTCTTTTTCTTTGTATGCTGGACTTTCCAGGAAGAAGTCACAGAGTAAAATAAACAGATCTCAAAATTCATTGAGGGGGCGAGGGTGCCAAGTTTGTTTTCTTGCTTTGTTTTTAAAAGTTTTTTTTTTTTTCCATTTTACTTTTTCTCTCTTTAACAAAACATTTTATATACTTTTTTAAAATCATTTCTGCAACACTCAATATAAAAATAAAACATTAATTCTTTCTTTGTTTTTTTTCTATATTTTTTTTTTTTTAAGTTTTATATTTTTTGTTTTAATTTTTATATTTTTTGGTTGTTTTTAATACCTTTTTTAAAATTTTTTCTTTTCCACATTTTTTTTTTTTAAAGACTTTCTCTCTGATATAATGTTTCAACAGTATGAAATAGGGTCAAAAGTGTATGGGTGATAGCAGATCATTCAGTGTGAAATGGACCATGAGATTAATCCAACCACAAGATCCTTATGTCATAGTGCCCTCATCAATGAGTAGTTGCTGTCACTCACACGATTGGTGGCCTATAATTCTCAAGTGTAGAGTAGAATGTCAACTGACTTTTATATTATTTATTAGAAAAAAAAAATCCTCTCTCAACCTTCAAACACTGATTTGCTGTCAAGACAGCAAAAAGCTCAGATGGAAATCAACAATACAATAGTTATTTTGATAGACTTCAAACATGTAAACACTATGTGCACACACATGCATGTGCACAGTTTCCCTGAAATGGATACCACTATGCACACATGCATCAACACATCAACAGTGAAAAATGCACCAGAGATTGATTGGTGGGCCTTTGCTTTCTGGATACTAAATTTTCCCCTCCAACCACCTTTTAATAATGAATCAAATTCCTAATTCTCAAATTAATGATTCAAGTAATAATTTGCACCTATTTACTAAAGAAATCTTTTCAGTTCACCTTTCAATTACATGACTGAATTGATTTTGTATACGTCTCCATTAGCTGATCAAACATGATGTGTTTTTGTTTTGTAGCAGGTGATCAAATCACTTAGAAAAGGTAAGAGACACACACACACACACACACACAAAAAAAAACAAACAAACAAACAAAACGATAGTCTACCTGAAAGAGGAAGAGAAATGGAAAGAAGAGTTGAAAATAAATCCTAAAATGATACGAGATTTAGAAAATTTTAGACAGGCTTTACCAGTTTATCACTGTTATTGACTCAGCATCTTTGTTCAGAAGACCTTATAACAGTGCTCAAATTATTTCTAATTACTTCAGCCATAAAAAATACAAAGAAATTTCAACTGTTTTGTAGAAAAACAAACTTCTAATGTAACATTTAGTTTATTTTTTAACTAATAAGATAAATGAAGGATTCATATACTTATATCAGAGAAAAGAAAATACTCTTTTACATAGGTTATTTGTAAAGATTTATTTTTCAAGTTAGAGGAAAGCAAGTTTCTCAAATTTATAAGTGATGTTTAAAAAAATAGAAAAAGTTTTACGGTTGATGAGGATAACAAAGATTTACAATAATCCTTAATCAACAACAGATTTATAAACAGGAACAATTTAAAAAGATGATTATTCCAATAGAAGGAAAAATGTCATTTGAGAACTTTGCAACCCTTTTAGCAAATGATGTGGATGAATATACTTTAAAAACGATTATTTTACTATTAAAATAGAATCCTTTGCTTAATTTTACACTAAAAGGTAAGGGAATTAAAAAAAAAACAAAAACAAACACCTAGGTGGTCGTATGAAACGAATGTAATTACATTAGTCAACAGTAAGATGGGATGTATGTATAATAGGTCAGGTTTGATGCCTTATATTCTATAATGCAAGATATTTGTTAGATAGGATAGAGGAAATAAGTGATCATAAAATTAAGTAACAATTCTGAATTAATATACTTCAAGTCAAAATAAAAAGATTATTAGGAATGTAGTTTTGTACCTAAATCTACACAAACTTCACAGGTATCAATGAATATAGAAACAGAGATAATATTGAACTCATGCTCAGAGTAGTAGCTGAGAGAACCAGGCAGAGACATGACCCCTTGACAGAAAAAAATAAGATGACAATTGATTTCATGTTCATTAGTCATTTTCTCATTAGTTTTCACTTGTACATTCTGAATTTATTTGTTATTTTTCAATTTCTGGAAGTTTGGAAGAAGTCTATTTTACTTTAAATTTTTAACTTACTCCTATCTCATTCTTAAACAGAGGGTTAAGTAATTTTTTAAAAAACATCTTAGCAACATTCTATGTGAATAGAAAATTAAAAAGTAAAAATTAGAAATAGTAATACCAGAAGTATTACAGGAAAGAAATGAGAAACTTGATGTATAGTGATGCAAATATGTAAGCCCAATTTCCCTATTACTGCATGCACAATATGTGCTTAGTTCATAGCTTCTGACAGTAGAAGAGATGTGTAAAGAAGTTTACTTTTGGCAAAGGATCAATCTCAAGCCATTTTTCACCTGCCAGTGCATGATTTATATCCTCATCAAAACTCTCATCCTTCTCCTCTCTCACTTGGTTTCCAAATTCTTTTTCAGTGTCAAGAGAAATTTGATTATGCTCTACACTTTTTAAACAATTGACTCCATCATCTTAGAACTTAAACAAGTTCTATTGTTATCCATAGGATGAGTTCTGATCTAAAAATAACTGTACAGCAAGGAAAAAAGGGTGTGCCGCTTGCCACAGAATTAGTGGTGAAGCAGGTTTTCACTTCATGATCCTTCAATTCCTTCCACTGAGAAGAGTTCTTTGTGAAGAGCAGGAAAGTCAACATCAGGTGCTGATTGCTTAAACCTGTTGAGTACATCAATGTGCCGTACACCAAGGCTGCGTAGATCCTCCACACGCTGCAGGAGTTTGTTCAAAAGAGTCTCCTCCTCTTTGTGATTCTTGCCAACCTCTAATTTCAGGGCTGTGAGCACTTTCTCGTGAAGCTTCTGAATGTCAGCCAAGTCCTTGAGTCCAGGCCGATCTAATCAAAAAAAAAAATAAATAAATAAATAAAAATACATACTATATATATATATATATATATATATGGGTACCTCCCCCCAAAACCTAAGAAATAAAATGCACTTAAGAAATTAAAAATCTTTCTTGAAGCTTTTATTTTAGTTTTAATTCCAAGCTAATAGATTAAATTTAATATTTCCAATAAGCAAAATACTTCAGACTATAGAGTTCAGTTGAGACATGAAGCTGACATTAACCATGCAATGTTTTATATATGATAAAAAGGATAGTTTTAAGGTATGCTATATTTATGGGTAAAAGTACTCAATACCAGGGACCGAGTTTATGCAAATATAAAAGTGAAATCCACACCGAGTGACGTCTGTTTCATGCTTGAACATAATCTTCAGGTTATGTGTTTTGTGGTGGTAAAACTATATATGCTGGTCAATGGGGTATTATAGGTAGCAAGTTCAGATACTTCTGTTTTATTGCATTATTTTAATGGTTAATGGTAACCAGAAAAATAATCACAAAAATTTAATATAGATTTGACAAACAAAAATAAGTAAATTTCCTAGATGTTACACTCAACCTATGAAAATGTACATAGCCATATAGAAAACCCAACAAATAAACCACTTTAGATATAAGCATCTTCCAACCAGTCAAGCAGATCCCACAATCAGTTCTGTAGGTTATCTGACAATTTTTCTAATGAAACCATCTTCAATGAAGCAAGCCCTAAATGATATCAACAAGAAAAATATAAGGCAGATAATGTAACATTCTTTAGACAAAGTCAATACTTTAATCTAAATGAATGAGATAACCAACCCCCCCAAAAGAAAAAAAAATGAAAATAAAGTAAATCACAAACAAATTAAACTACAAAAGCACACATTAAAAACAATTAAATTTCATGATAATAATTTGCAAATAATTAATGAATAAATACAAAATACAATAAGAAATCAATAATAAATAAGGAGTAAAAAGTTAACAAATGACACTATGCAACCACAAATAGCTACAAATAACCATATTCTGACCCACAGTTATTTCTATTCAATAGCCTTTAGAATTATTTGAAATATAACAGTTGTCACCTACCTAATAACTGTTAGGTATAATGCAATAAACCATTGTGTTGACCTGTGTGTGTGTGAGACCACACACAAACATGCTTAAAAAATAACTTTTCCACTTTTACAGATTCAATTGTGAGAAAAATTACAGTAAGTATTACTAAAAACTTGTTCTACATTATGGTAAATTAATAATATGAAAATGAATTAAAGTTAAGAAAATTTATAAAACAAAAATTGTTCATCACCAAAAATGGAGTGTTTAAATTTAGAGAAAAAGCATTGTCATTTATAGGTGTTATGAATGAAGAAAAAAGTTTCCAAAAAAATATGAAAAATATTGCAATGTAAACAAACATTACTTATTGATCTGCAACGTTGTTACCTAAATTATCACCATAAGCTGCTGTAAAGTTGATGAATGATTCATGTGTAGAGTTTTCATGCTAAAAACTTGTGGCAAAACCATTTCTGATATTACAAAAATTAGAGAGTAATATCTAGAATATTCAAGCTTTATGATATCAATTCCATTAAATCACCTAAAACATTGAGGCTGCTATATGATAGCAACTCAACAAAATTGAGAAATTCAAAGCGTGTATATGGTGGACCATTTTGAGACAGCAGTGAGCATTGCATGTCAAGCAAGCAAGGAATTTGGTATGATAGTGTTTTGGCAGACAGTGTCATATTTATGCAAAGCAGGATTTCATGTACATTCTTTTATCAAATCCCTTATCAAGAGAAAGAACCAAAAAGCTAAACTTTACAGTATATTGTCTTAAGTGATGGAAACTAAGAAACAGTCTTTTTCAATGATGAAAGTAAGAATTTGGTTTGCCCTGATAACAAGCAGCATATCAGACAGCATAAATGTTAGAGATTGCTTTCCAAATGTGTAAAAACAATCAGTTAAATTTAGAAGGGTAGTAACATTGGTGTTAGAAGATATTGGTAGTGGGTCATTCATTCAATTACATGGCAAAGTAAATGCTACAGCATATAAGATTATTTATTGAACAGCATGTTGTTCATTTTCTGAAAGTACCTCATGTCCTTGGGTTCATATCTGCACAAACAATATAGTGCCAATTGTCATAATGCAAAAATGGTAAAACAATTATTTGAAGCTGAAGGCGCCTAATTTATGGCATGGTTAACTAGTATTATACAGCCACACATGTCACATAACAAGATGAATTATAACAGGCTGATGCAATGTAAACAACAACAAAAAAAATGTGAATGGCTGCTTAGAAAATTGCTAATCTAAAAGGGAGGTAACTTTAAAAATTGAATTCTTAGGACGTAAATTAACAACATACAATTATGTAAAATTTATCAGACATTATTTAAATTCCCTAGATGTTTTCAACACTAAAATGTATATTTACACTTTTTTTTTTTTGGCTAATCCACGAATATAAACGGCTGTGAGTTACCACACTTTTATGATTTTCAATTGTGTATATGGTTCGTTTTGCAAATGAATGCTATTAAGTAAATTTTCTACCTCATAGTCCATTGCATTTAAAGATTAAATTATAAATTTTATTGTGATATTTTGTTTAACAATAATCGTTAACAAATGTGTTGCATTTGGCTGTTCTAGTGGATATATTACTAACAGTGAAAATTTATCAACATTTTCTTTTCCTCTTGGAAAGTTCGACCTTGTAGAAAAATGGATAAAATTTGCTAATCTTATTGGTTGGTTTCCTACAAAAAATTCAGTTCTCTCTATGAAACATTTTGAAGAGAAATTTATTTTGAAAGGAAAGAGAAGCAAACTGAATTGGGATTTACATTCAATACATTCAGAAAAAATAACTCCTTTGCTGAATACAAGGTAATTCAGAAAGCTTCCAAAACAACTGTCCAAACTGATGACTTAGACTCAATTTTATTTCAGCTGATATGATAAAGGATTTTACTCAATTGGAAAAAGAAAAAAGTTTTAGAACAACACTTTTTTCAGTTTTGAATTTAAAAAGAAGGAAGATTATATTCTAATTTATAGAATAGTCTTTGACCCTGAAACACATTTTCCATCTATAAAAGTATGTATTTGCATTGACGAAAACCTTCATGTCCAGCTTCAGTATGAGGGAAGCCCTATAACATTACCACAGTGGTTTGTACATGGGTATAATGTTAAACTCACAAGACTTAGCATATTAACAAATTTTTCAAAGCAAGATACAAAGTGTAGTGGAAGAACAACCATACTCAATTCTAAAAGAATTACAAAAAAGACATTACCAACTAAGTGGTTGTCCTTCATTTTCTACAGAACTACTACTGCACTATACATCTCAACAAACCTATAAATTACTCTGGAGAAATTTCCATTGCCATCTTTTTCTTTATTAGAGAAAATTCAAAGAGATGCTGTGGAATCAATTACAGCTGCAAAATTGCTCCTGAAAAATGCGATCATTCTCAGGACTGTATCTTAATAGTAGATGAAAAGTACCTTCAAAACAGAACACAATTTCATGGTAAGTAGTACATTGGTGCAAATGAAGATAATGAACTCTATAAAGGAATAATGGTATATGTGATCAATGGTTTTAAAAAGATAGTACCAGCCTGCCCTGAAGTAACAGTAAGTGGCATTCTCAGGAGATTCTGAAATGTATTTTACAGCTTATAAATGCTGGATTTTTTTATTAGGGCTGTTGTTGCAGACAATCATTCAGCCAATGTGAATGCATTTAACATTTTACTTGATAAGTATGATAGGGACAAAAAGTACTAAATAACTATTCCCAATTAATTATCCCCCCAAAATATTTGTTTTTTGACTCTGTACATTTATTAAAAAATATTTGGAATAGTTTACTAAACAGAAAGAAGTTTGTATTTCCTGCTTTTACATTTGAAATATATGACAAGGACAACATTCTAGATGCTAAATTATGTAAGGCCTCAAAGCTAACATTCAAAGCACTGCATCGTAGTGACAAACAAAATGTTAATTTAGCTATTGCCATTTTTCATGAGACAACTAGTGCAGCTTGTGAGAGCTACTTTTCTGATCAAACTGACATGTCAAACTTCCTTAAATTATTATGCTGGTGGACAATAGCAAATTCAAGAAAGGAAGAAAAAAAAAATTAATTTTTGAACACTGCAGCAATTTTAAATGGGAAAATTGATTTCTACAAAAAAATTTTCTGATTGGGTCAAGTCGAGTGATTGGGTACAAATTTCAGATTGTTGCCGAAACAAAGCAAACTTTCAAAGCTTTTGTTGTAATTCTGAGAGCACAGGCTATGTTTATGCAAGAACTTTTAGAAGAAGGGTATGAGTATGTTTTCACCCATAGATTGCAAAGTGATCCACTTGAATTTTCTCAATATCGACAGACGAGTGGTGGTAGGTTTTTGGTGAGCCTTTGTGAAGTATTGAGTACTGTTGATCTCTTATAAAAAAAAAAACATCAACTTTTGGTAAGGGCTCAAGTCAGTTCAAAAGAATGACAACTCAATACTTCTTGATATTTTGGTCCAGCATGAATCAGGAATACATGAACTCTCTTAGTCACCAGACAGCAAAGAAGTGGCATATACAATTTCAGGTTATGTAACAAAAAAAATGAAACATTTTCAATGTGAAATGTGTACCCTGGTCATGGTAGGCAATGATAGTGATGATGCTACAGAGAAGTAGTATTTTAACTTACTTTCTTGAGGTCTTACGGTTTCATCTAACCAAATGGTAGAGTTTGTACTTGACTATGCAGATAAATTTATCATAAAACATAATGAATCCACTACAAGAGAATCTACTGAAAGAATTTTGGAAACTTATTCTCCAAAATATGTTTTTACTTATGAACACACTGAAAAAGGAATTCACTTTGTAGCAAAAAAATCTTGTAGATATATTTTACAATAACAAAATTCATTGGATGAAAATCAAAAAAATATTGTAGAATGTTTCCAAAAAAAAAAAAAAAAAAAAAAAAAAAAGGTAATGGTCAAAAGAAAATGGAGTTATACAAAAACTGTTGGTAAGTATTTTTTTTACTTGTATTTGTTTTGTATTACTGTTTAATTCTTTAATAATTTTTTTTTTTGTTTGTTTACAATCTTTTATTATTACATTTCTGTCTAAAAAGAGAAAAAGAAAAAAAACCTGATTGTGTATTTTTGGGTGGTTTTAGCGTTTTAAATAAAACCAACATAAATTGACTATAAACCAAATAGGCCTGTTAGAAATTAGTCTGAAATGCGACATGTAGGGTCAGCCAAAAGTCCAGATCTTAATACACATGAGAATTTTTGGAATATCATTGGCAATATGTTAGAGCAAGGAAACTAATGACAGAAACTGATCTGGGACAAGAACTGCAGGAGGAATGGTACAAAATTACACCTGAACAACATGACAAATTGGTTAAGTCCTGTAATTATAAACTGCAGGAATAACAGTCATAACCTGTATGCAATTTTCTTTTTTTTTTAAATAAATATTATGAATCAATATTAAGTCAATAATGTGTACTTCCAATTTTGTTCTCTAATTTTAGATGCTGTACTTATTTGTAATAAATAAATTTTGTTTTATAAATTTCCTTGCCTATGTTTCTTTTTAATCACAATTTACCATAATGTAGGAGATTTTAAGAATATTTACTGCAACTTTTCTCGCAATTGAACCTGTTGAATTGTAAATATTTGATTTTTAAACTTTCATTCTTTTGTATTGGGTACTGGTATGTGTGATATACATACACACACAACAAAACAGAATTTAGCATACATAATACAACAGTAGTAACAGAAAAATACTAGATCTTATCAATATAATGAAAGCTTTCAGCATCTTGAAATTTAAAAAAATATTGATTTTATACTAAACAACTGAATCTGATTTATGATATCTTAATTTTATTAAAGAAATTTGAGGAAAAGGATCAAAATCTATAACCTAGAATTTGATACCAGTAATGAGTATTTAAATATTTTAGGAGATTGTAGATAAAAATTATAGTTGAAAGAAAATACTTTCAACAAAATAAAAATAGTGATAGATAGGTGGTTATTTTTCTCCGATAAATCTCATGCAAAAATATCTGCATGTCTCAAATTTAACAAAATAATTTAAATTATCTCTAATTCATAAAGATTTTATTACAACAGTGATGAATGTCCTCTTAAATTTCCAAGCTGTATGTACAGTAGTGAAATGCAATAATTCTAACAAGCATAAAGAACAAGCTGCCTGAATTAAGAAATTTATGAGAGTTTGAAAAATACAAAAGAAATAATTCCATATTAATTAAAGAGAGAAAACAAGATTATCAGATACCTGTTCGAATGAGGATAAGAGCACTCATCAAAGCTAGTTCACTTTCTGAAAGTTTCAGAGATATCATTAAATCTACAAACTCAAAGATATTGTCCTGCAAGGATCTCTCAACTTCATCTACAAATATAAAAGAAATATTTTTAAACATTTATAGCAGTGGCAGAATATTTTTTAAAATAAATAAATCAAAATGTCTTCTATAAACATCAAAGTATTCCCACAAAAAAAAAAAAAAGCCTCATAACATCAGTTTAGGAAATTTATTTGCCCAAAATGTAGTCATGCATGCAATAGAGATGCTTATAACAGTAATAAATATTTCTAGTAAAAATTCACAAATAATTAACTACTCTATGTTATTTATGTTTTAAAATCATATTGTATTTGATACTAACTGTACATATAACAGCTGAACAAATTGGAACTTCAGTTATGAAAGCACTATGGTCAAAACCAATGTAATCATTGTAATTTCAAGTGGTACAGTGAAAGAGGATTTGGTTTACATATGCAATTACTACAGTTGGATTATAGAAGGCAAACATAAAAAATTGTTGGGAACTGATTTTTAAAATATACTTACTAAAAGCAGCAAATGCTTTAAGAGGTAAAAACACAGAGCCAAATATCACACGTTTGGTGGACGATTCATATACTCTACACAACCTTATCAATGCCAATTCAAAACTCCCTATAAAAGAAAATTCTATGTCAGAATGTAAAAAAAACAAGTTTGAAAGTAATGTGTAAGGATAAATTTTGTTTATGAAAATTCAACAAAGCTAAATGGTTGAGAAGAAGTGGAAAGATAATAAAAAGGCAAAGTGAATGCATTGTTTAAGTTCTTGGAATACTATTTATTTTATTTGCAAATCTTTAAATGCTTTATATAAAAGTGAAAAAACCATTAAGCACACAATTAATAATAAAATAAACTGATAGGTACAACTTTTAGAATGCATCATTCCAACCATGAACAATAGAATAAATCAGTCTGATCAGTTTTCCTCAGCTGACATGAAGTGGAAAGACCATATTGAATCCTTTGCTAGGTCAGTTGTTAAGAAAGTTGGTTCACTGTGTCATGCAAGACAAATTTTCTCCCCAGAAACTCACATATCTGTAAGTCTACCATTCATCCAGGCTTAGAATATTGCTGCCACATATGGTCTGGTGCCCCTGCTATTTACCTTGAGCTCCTTGATAAAATCCAAAGAAGAATCAGCAATATTATTGGTCCTGGTCTGGCATCTCAGCTTCAGTCACTTTCCCAGCACTGTAAGGTTGCCTATGTGCCTTTTCTATAAATACTTTTATGATAATTGTTTAGATTATCTCTTTGCTATGGTACCTAGACTTTTTAAATTTAAATGCAGTATTAGACTGGCATCAAGATTTCATAAATTTACAGTTATATTGATGTAACTGTAAATTCTATGCTAACGATTTCTTTTCCTGCACTTCTTGCTTGTGGAACTCCCTCCAAACACCATGCTTTCCAGCCAACTTTAATCTGCAAAAATTTAAATGCAATGTCAATCACTATCTACTGTTCTCTTGATTACACTTTCCTCTTCCTACTCATTATTAATGTTTCTTTTCCTAATTCTTTCACACCTGTAACTCCTTGTGTCTTTACTGCCTTGATGATACCAATTAAAAAAAATTGATCAAACTACTAATACCAAAATTAATTTACAAAAAATGATAAATGAGACAAATCAGTCAAATAGTACACACTTAATAGAATTCATTTGAGAAGAATTAGTTCCTGCACTGATGTGAAGATAGAGATATCAGTTAAAATCTTCACTCAATGTACTGTCTCAAGTTCACAAAGATCAAAATTTTCAGAGTTTAGTTGGTTGGTTGGTTCATTATAGTACTGATAAGAAAGTGCTAACTAACATTTTAAAAAATTGCATTTATCATGCAAGTTTTAAAAATATCCTTTATCATTCAATTTCTTTTTAAATATCTACTTGCACATGTTTTTGGGTGCATTATAATAAGGGTTTCTGTTGAGCATGATGGCTACCCTAAGTGATTGTTTATGCCAAAAAAATAAAATAAATAAAAATAAATAAAAATGAAAAAAAATAAAAACATCTCAGCTGTATTTTTTATTTTTTTTTTACAAATAGTTAAAACTGTCAATTCTTTCTTCTACACACTACTTTAAGTATTAGTCATCAGTATTCATACAGTATCATGAGTTTTGAGAGTTCATGCTTTTTCTGCCCCAAAACTTTAATCCCTAAGGCACAATTATTTTTTTGTCAATTTAACTCATAATAATCCAAAACTTACAAAAATGTAAATTATCTTGTATATGCACTGTTCAATACAATGCAAAAATAAACATTAGCAAGCTAAAGAATGTATTCAGAAAACACATTATGATAAACAGCCAAGAATAGTTTGGTAATTTTGGTATGCATTTTGTTCTTGAAGATTTCTTACACTATTTTTCTACAAATGTGAAATGTATTTTAAGGTTCCAGAAGCATAATCTAGAAAGTGAATAAACTAGCAAAATTCAAAATGGTCCACTGAAAGGTCACGAGCTCAATACATAGGTCAGAAAAGGACAATCATAAGAACAGACAGACATTGTATGTACATACATGAAAGGGGAAGCATATGCCCTCTTGGAGTAAGATTCAACATATGACAGATATTCAAAGAATGCTGGAGTGTACACAAACATTGTAATAAAACAAAACAAAGATGAGAAAATTAGCCCAAATTAACCAATATACAATGGTAAAAAAAAAAATTCAGAAAATATTCTGAACAGGTATTTTTTTTTTTAAGCATTTACTTTGATCATTCATACAAAAGATAACATAAAAGATTAGATCTTTTGATATAACAAATTGACAGCATCAAAAATTATAAAATAAAATAAAAATATGTACATGAACAATAAAAGAAAGACATGAAAAGAAATGTATACCTGCTTTCAACAACATGATTTGATCATCTTGCGATAAATCCATAAATCCTGGTACCATTTTAGCAAACTCTATGATTTGTTGTACAGCCATGGTGATTTTATCTGCCACTTCCATCCATAATTGTCGATTAGACTGAAAAAGGATATAAAATTGTTGTTGGACACAAAGTTATACATCACATGGCAAATGAATGATATTTTAGTTATGCATATCAGATTCAATAGCAAAAATTCCTTTAGTAATTAACATTTAGTTAGGATATGGGATATATTGCTGTAATCAAGAACATCCAACACCCAAAATAATCGTGAACATTTTCCTTAAATATAGATAATATCCACTAAATAAAAAAAATATATAAAATAGTTATTTTTTTTTTTACTATTTTATTTACATAATGTTTTTATTTATCAGTGTTATACTCCTTTGCAATTAGATCTCATTCTGATTCATTCTGCACACTGGCCAGATGTGACCGCCACGAAGGCAGAAGATGAAATAACAAAAGTTGTTTTCTGTGCATTGGGCTCCATGCATCACATCTACAAACTCCAGCAGTGACCAATCGCAAGCATTCCCGCCAGTAACAGAGACTTGGGACTACCTGACCTGCTCAAAAGCAGGTTCTGAGGATGACCTGACACAGTCGCAACTGACACACAGGGTGCTGCTGTTGCTACCGCCGCCATGACCCTGTCACTATGACAACAGAGTTGCGTACCAGCCACCACACAAAGTACAACTACCATCTACATCTTCACTGCCACCACTCAACATGACCGCACATTTTAACAACTGTTACACTTCCTGGCTTGACCTACCACCTTGGCTATCCAGTTTTCAACTCAACATTCCAACCTTGATTCCTCCCAGCTACAAGCCTTCATCAATACCAACACCCACTGTCACCTCAGCCTATCTCAACAAGGCACTCCCTTCGCTGTCGACCCTAGCAATATCCACTCCACAGAACAGCTCTACCATGACTACGCCAATCCGTCACCCTCGTTCCACATAACAGATCTACCAATGATAAGGCGACCTACATCAACCAAACATGCAATAACCGTATCTTGTAACCATATTCCTGTACTCTTTACCAACAATAAATGTTTCACTCGCTACCATATTCTCAATATAACACCAATATAGACCAAAAATAAAAAAATAGCTTTACAACTATTTAGCATTGTTTTTTCTACATTTGTAATTTTAAATTTTGCATACTTGCTAAAAGTTTAAGAAATGAACAGAGAAACAATATTTTTCTCCATGAATTTGCTTGGATAACAAATCACGATAAAAAAATTATCAAGAACAAGCTTTCAAAGTCTGCTTTCTATAATCATTTCAAATTTTTTAAGACAATATATTTTAATCCAGTCTATCAATTTCTTCTTAAATCAAAATCTACACAGGAAAGAATGAAAGCTAAACTGTCATAAAAAGAAAACATTCTACACCAACAGATAATATAGCACAATCTTCTACCACACACACACTTGGTCCTTAAAACTCATAAGTTCAACCTAGCAATGATTACAGCTGGTTGTGGCTTTCCAGATTCTCTTAAAAAAAAGAAAAAATTGTACTTCCACTTTTCAGTTCCAAAAACTTTAATGGGTGCTTGACCTCTTCTATCTGATTTAAAACTAAAAAAAAAATATAGATTTCAATAGTGATATATATATATATATATATATATATATTTTTTTTTTTCATTTTTAACTGATAATATTGAAATGCCAAGACTTATAAAATCAAAAAGGAAAATGTTTCTCTGTTTGAATATTGCCAAGTACAATAAGGAGAGAAAAAATAATATATCACATTTCCTAACTTATTTATTAATTTTGTTTCTTGCTAAAACTGGAATGTTACCATATTGAGATTATTTTTATTTTTTTAAAGTATCATTCTTAATAAATTTCATTTAAAATGAACCAGTGACTAAACTCACCAAACTTTGATAATGTTTAATATGATCCTGAGACGTGGGTTGGCTTTGCATACGATCAATGGCCTCACGTGTATAAAGGCAGGTTCGGAGGTGAGCTTCTGTCACAGCTTTACCAAAAGCAACTGGAAAGCAAGATTACAATCAAATAAATATTCACAGCAAACATTACTTGTACAAAAGTCAAAGAAAAGAAGAAAGGGGCCAGCATTTGAAAATATTTGAGGAATAGTTCAATTCATGCAAAACAAAAGGGAAAAGTTTTCAATTACAAGTTCTATGAATCAATGTTCAGCTTGTTCTACTTTAAAAAAACATTTTCAATATCTGGTGAGTAAAAAAATAAGGAGAGAGAGAAAGTAGAAAGTAATTCCAATCTTATCACTATTTTTATTCAATTTCTCAAACTTTTACACTTCTAATTATTAGGCAGAGATAAAAAAAAATGGTTACAAGTTCTATCACTGGTACTGGTTTGGTGAGATTCTTTAACTATTTATAAAATACTAAACAAAATTCCTAACTTACCAAAGAGTATAAACAAAACTTACTTTACTCATGAGTGGATATAACAGTTGGAACTGAGAAACAGTGATTTAAGTACATTCTATAACAATGTCTAAGGCAAAAGATAAAGTGGTTTGATTGCAAGAATTAGAAACAAGACAAAGATTATTATTTTTTTTTTTTTTACTTAAATATTACTTTTTAGTGGATACTCGTATTTGAGTAGATGCTCCATTTATTTACAAAAACAGTAAATATTTTCATCTACCAGCCAAAATATTCAAGAATCTTATTAGAAAAAATGTGCTCACTAGCACATTATATATATATATATATATATATGGTGTGATGGATAAATTGTCTAAATTATGCAAAAATGAAAATAACAGACATCTCATTTTAACAGATATATTTACAAAAATTACACAAAAATATCTTGAAATACCAAAGAGTAAATTTATTCAATAAAATTGCCATTGGCTTTAATCATAGCCTCCAGACGACTTCAGAATCTCCTGCAACTCTTCTATGCAACCTTCTTGTTTAAGTTGGTGAATGCTGCCATAATCCTTGCGTTCAGTTCATCTTTGATGTTACAAGTTTTGTTGGTCTCTTGCTCAAACATGGCCCATACATAATAACCAAGGGGGTTGCAGTCTGGGGACTTAGGTGGCCAAATGTAAGGGATGATGTGGTTGCAGAAATTGTCTGACAGCCATGGGCTTTCATGACTGTGTGACATGGTGCAGAGACCTGTTGCCAGACATAGGGTATTTCAGCAGTCACCCTCTTGACACAGGGCAGCACTACCTCCTCAAGGTATTTGATATAGGCTTCTATGTGGAGTCTGAGGCCCTCACCAACAAATTCGGGAATTCATTTCTTATCAGAATGATCAGAGTGAGTTTTCCAAGCTGCCGTACCTCCACAATCACCATTAAACTCAGCCAGCACTGTCCACACATCGACACCCAAACACTCCAAAATGTTTATAGTGGAGATTCCGGACCAAATGCCAAGCAGTTTCCAAATTTCTGGTGAACTGAATTGGATCATGGTGCCCCCCCCCACAGACAGTGCCCAACTGACCCTACTATACCTTGCAGTCAGCAAAATCAAAAACAATAGAGGCACAAAATTAAAAATTTAAAATGGTGACAATTGACCCACAGCACCACCACCCTGTGTGTGTGTGTGTGTGTGTGTAATTTATATGCTCTGTTATCTGTACTATATATCACCAAATAAGAGAAAGAACAGATGGCATAGAAATCCAGCATTGTATCGAATATTTTTTAAAAAAGCAAATGCTACAAACTGTGGATTTTTATGCCATCTGTTCTTTCTCTTATTTGAAGAGAAGATATATATATATATATATATATATATATATATATAAGATAAAATAAATTCCATTGGTGTATAATCCAAGTGGGTCCTAGTAATATAAAAATATTAAAACTGATCCACAAAAAAGAGAGCTTGATGTATTTTTTTTCCGTTCAATATGTTGTATAATATGGGGGGAGAGTAAACAACCACTTGTATCATCTACCGAAATAGCCTATTTCCTCACATATATATATATATATATATATATATATATATATATATATATATATATATATATATATATATATATTTTTTCAGGAGAGAAAAAAAAGAATGAAACAGGATGTTTTGAGTTAGAAGCAAAATTTCAGTATATTTAAGTTATAAAGTACTATATATTAAACATGTAATTGAAATACATGGAAATTCTTGTGAATTTATGAAACAAAAGACAATTTTCATGCAGAAATAATCACAGGCAAGTTGAAACTCATCTTCTTTAAGTGAATTTTGTCACAAATATGGCATTAATTTTGCTGAAATAGAAAGCCAAGTTAAACAGAAGAGCAAAGAGAAAGAAAATTTCATGAATTTTTAAAATGTTGCTTCAGTACAACTATTAAATTTTTGAATAAGCACAAACTGTCAATAGGAGAGGAAAGTTGCATTAAAATTGAGGAGATATCAATATTTAAATAGTCATTGATTTCTTTTCTTATGATTCGATCATTTAATGCAGATATTGCTTCTCAAGTCTTAAGATTGTTGATTTGTGAGGAATCAAAATGAGTCCTTTAAAAAGAAACGCTTTTCAAATCTATTCATATAAGCAGCAAGCAAATTGAATGTAGAGTAGTAAAGTAGAACGATCCAAGCTCTCAGTATGATTAATAAATTAAGCAGGGTTCCCACAGATCTGTGTAAAAAAAAAAAAATCCAAGACTTTTCAAGCACTGAAACTAGCATGTGCATGCATGCACACACACAACTGAATGCAGACCTGATTATGTTACACATTTTGTGTAGCAATCTATAGTTTGGAGTCCTAGTACACTTAAAATTTTGAATTACAAACTTTAATTCTTACTGTTGCACTTTTCAGCTATCTAGACTACTCATGGTTTGTGAATGTCACAAAAATTCTTGAATGTGGCAGAGTTATATATAGTAGTTTTAATGAACAGAACTACAAATAGAAATTTTCACAAAAAGATTACACATTTTAGCTACCCCTACTACTCATGGGTTTTGTTGCTCATGGCACAGGACACGATGATGGCAGTTTTTCAGTTCATCTACTTTAGTATTCAGTCCCTCTTCTAATTTTGATATTTCTATGGATTTGTCCTTTACAGATATTTGCAGGTCATTGGACTTTGCAATAAGTGTGAAGTTCTGAGTCTGCTCAGATTTCTCCGCATAGCTGTCAGCTGATTTGAGCAAATCTTGTGTGCAACTTTCAAGCTTGTGTTTTTGATCTTCAGTGTTCTTCAATTTCCATTTTTGTCCAGCTGCTTCTTCCTGCCTTTTTTTTTTCTCCTCAATCTCAAGATATTGGTTGTTTGCTGTTCTGGCATTGGAAGCACTACAGAGAAGAGCTTTAGTCATGGAAACATTCCCAACACCACCAACTGTGGCTAAATAGTCTGTGATAATACAACTGTGCAACCACAGCCTGCTGTTTCATATAGTCAATGACTGAGAAACCTTTCGCCATGAGAGAGTACCAGCAAACTGTGAACAACTTTCAACAGTTTTGGATATTCTTTGTTGCTAGACAAAGGAGAATAGAACAAAGTTTCCAGACTATCTTAATGCTTGCTGAAATTCTTGAAAGCAATATTTCCAGCAGCCTCCTCCTCAAACTTTTGTACTGACTGATGATGTCATCACAATCAGACTTCCTGACTTGTTTTCTATCCATCATGTGAGAAAGATATCTTTTTACACTGTCTTCTGTGGTAAATTTTTTTTTCACAAATAGAGCCAAGGTTCAGCCATGCAAGTGACCTTACAAGAGGGAATCTAAAGAGAGAATTTGCCAGAAGTTTCTCAATAATGGTGATGGACATTGTCTTTTTTGCACTTCTGCATGCAAACAGATCTTTTGTTGACACATTTCTTTTTTTGCCAAAAATCCATGCTTGATCTTTGCAGCATCTTTATGCATATTTGAGTTTAACAAAATTATTACAAATTCATTCAGTTTGGAAAATTTAATTATCTTTTTAGTATGCTCTTCCTTTACAAATCTTAATAGTTTCATGATCATGCTAAAAAGATCATCTGCAAGGAAAGGAAGTAACGGTTAATCACACTGATATTTTATCAGAGACAGTTCAATGTCTTTCAAAACTGACACAAAAATCTGCAGCTTCACTAGAAATGACATTCATATTTGACAGTATCACAGAGAAGGACTTGGTCTGGTGACATTTTCTGTTTTTTTAATTACATTCACAAATTTGATGACATCTGGCCAAATGTTTAGCAGTCATTCATACGTTTGTACATTTTCTAGCCATCTATGGCAGAAATACAAAAGTAAAGAGGCAGAGTTGCTAGATTGAACTTTTAATAGATTTACTTCCTAGTAACTGATATTAAACACTTCATGAGCTATCTTAACTTCAGCATCTTCATATCTGCCTGTCCCTAATTTTTTTTCCACATTATATTAACTCAAATAGATATGGAAGACATTAAACAACTGATTTCCAACCCAATATGAAGAAATGAGCTTTTTCTTAACACAGTAAATAACAAATAGCATGAGTTTATTTTCAAGCTTTTTAAATTTTAGCCTATCAATAGAGATTGTCAGCTGAAGAAATGCTTTTATATGCTAAAGAGAAATACTTATCTGCTATCGTTTTTACGATGTTTGGTACATTATAATGTAATTTTTTTTATACCCATAACTTAGTGGAAGGAGAAAGAAGAGAGTAACATTTAAGAAACAGAGAAAAGAAGTTAAACTAAAACAAAAGTTTAATTAAAGCAAAATAATGAAAGTGAAAACAAACTATCATAAAGAGTTTTGAAAATACCCACGACAAAAATCAATTGACTGAAGAGAGAAGTAATCACTGAGACACAGAAGACTGACTCTTTCCATAGATTTTCAGGCCATGAAAGCTTTGTAATCATTTGTACTTTCTAAATTGATATTTGATCAGAGTAACATGTATTATGAAACAATGTCACAAAAAAAAAAAAAAGCACCTAACAAATAAATCTTGATAAAAATGCTGTTTATGAAGGAATGCAGGTTTAGATCTTTCTA